AGAAGCTGGCCTGGCAGGGAGAGACCACGAGCACAAATTACAGCCCACTAATTTCTCCCACAGGCTGAGGGGAGCTGGGTCCCACGAGTCACTCCCAAACAGGGAGGCTCACGTTCCCTGAGACATGTCACAGGTGCCATGATGGCGCATGCTCGGCCATGGCAGTGCCAGGTTGTGCTCAGCACGGCGACTCTGCTGGGTTGCACTGGAGGTGAGGGCGCTGCTTAACAAGCCGTGACTGGCACAAGGGCACAGTGCAGCCCTGGAGACGGGAGCCTGCATCTGAGCCTCGCACCAGAGCAGTAGCAGGGGTTGGTGGAATTTAAAGATCCTTGTCTTGGTTTTAACCTTTTATACTATTCCTCTTTCCAGGTGTAAAAAACAAAACCAGCGAAACCGTGAACCAGCACATAGGACAGCATCAGGTTGGGAGACCCTCTGGCCTGGGCCTCCGGGCTGGCACTGGGACAGCAGGCTGGTCGGCTCCGACTGCTTGCGAGGGGCTTTTTATGGACTGAATGTTTGTTTTCCCAGATGCATATGTTGAAGCCCAAATTCCCAGGACTGGGAGATGGGCCTTTAAGGAAGTAATTACAGCTAAATGAGGCCCAAAGGGTGGAACCCTGGTCCTCTAGGATTGGTGTCCTTTTAAGAAGAGACACCTGCCCGGCCGGCATGGCTCAGTGGTTGAGGGTCAACCTATGAACCAGGAGGTCACGGTTTGATTGCCAGTCAGGGCACATGCCCAGGTTGCAAGCTTGATTCCCAGTGGGCAGTGTGCTGGAGGCAGCCAATCAATGATTCTCTCTCATCATTGATGATTCTCTCTCCATCTCTCTTCCTCTCTGAAGTCAATAAAAAATATATTTTTTTTTTAAAAGAAGAGACACCAAATCTCTCATTCCCCTCCAAACCCTTCAAGAGAAAAGGCTATGCGAGGACACAGTGAGAGGGGCCCTCGCCAGTAAGAGGCCCTTGCCAGGAGCGAATCGGCCAGCACCTCATTCTGGGACTGCCAGCTTCCAGAACCATGAGAACATAAATTTCAGCTGGGAGAGGGCCCTCCAATCCTCACCATCTATGGGAATTCTGTTAGTGGCATTTCAGTAGACTTGCATCATTGACAAGACAGAAAGAGAAATGGAGATAATTACCAATATACGGTGAGTCACTTTGGGGAAAACAGGTCAAACAAAGCTGTCAT